AGGCGTATGCAACACAATGGTGTTTCATAGCAGTAGAAGGGACACAATCATGATATGACGGTAGATTTTTCGCTTCCCATCCTCCCTTCCCTCTCTCCACTGCCCTCCAGCTGCCACTGCAGCACCATGTGGAATGAACGGAAGTGTGCTAAGCAGGTGTTTATATAGCCCTAAGAGTGTTATCACAACTATCCTGCTACAAAACATTGATATCTCAAATCCTGTAAGCTACCCGATTTGTTAGCGGTTTGTTTATCCCATGAGCTTCCTTCTCACTCACTTCATTTTGCGGACGGACACACATACATACATACACACACACATACAGACATACAAACCGACACACAAAGTTAGCGCTTTATACTGGGTGCGGCAAAAGTTCTGGCAACGGTAAATATGCCCGTAAAAAACGGTCGAATCGATCGATACATGATACAACTTCAACAGCATTTATCAACAGCTATATAGATCACAAAAACAAACTAGATCTCGAAATAGCCTCCTTTTGCGCGAATACAGGCTGAAAGTCTCCTAGGAAACACGTTGACGGCGGCACGGCACCGCGACATCCTTTTCACTGACGAATGTCTGTTTTCAACAGATCAATTCCTGAACACCCAAAACGATAGGATAATAGCGGGAAGCCCTGCAGAAGCCAGCCAACATGGAGGGATTGCTCAGCGATCTGGACACCCCAAGTCGTTGATGGTTTTTGGGGCAATCACATCGGACGGCAAGATGCCCCTGATTTTCTTGGAGAAAGGGGTCAAGGTGGATAGTAAGACCTACTTAAAAGACGTGTTGGAGAAGGAGGTACTCCCCTGGGCAAAATCCCATTTCGGCAACCGGACATGGACTTATCAACAGGACTCAGCTCCAGCACACAGGTCCAAGATTTGGACGAGGACTACCTCCGTGCCGCCGTCGACGCGTTTCCTAGGAGACTTTCAGCCTGTATTCGAGCAAAAGGAGGCTATTTCGAGATCTAGTTTGTTTTTGTGATCTATATAGCTGTTGATAAATGCTGTTGAAGTTGTATCATGTATCGATCGATTCGACCGTTTTTTACGGGCATATTTACCGTTGCCAGAACTTTTGCCGCACCCTGTAACATAGTATAATAACATACAATGGTGCTTCACCTGTCGCAGCCGCATGTAGATGCATCCCCTTGTCACTTGCAAGTTTTCAAACACGCAGCGGTGTTGAGACGTATCGGTTACACTGTATCTCGTTATCTTGGTGATTTATGTAGTGTATTCCTGGTCCTGAGTCAACTTTACGGGCTGTGCGCTAACAACCATAAGTATGTCAGTTGTTACGCCTGGTGAAAGTTTTTGAATGTTCACTTGGAGTCGGGGAATATGGATGAGCCAATTTATCCGTCATGATATAACTTGTAGACCGAAGCCACTTCTATAGCCTATGAAAGGAGATCCACAATTAGAACGAAGTGTCGAACAAGTGGGAAACTTGCCTAGTGGAGAGACTAGCAGACCCGCTAGGGGTGGGACCGTTACACGATTCGCGGCGAAGGCTGTGCCTCGGCATCTAGCAGCTATCCCCGTTGCGCTACCGACAGGGCACGCCCAGAGGCCTGGCTATTATCCACTTGCCACAGGTCTTTGGCGCCCAGCATAGAGAGCGTAGCGTTGTAGAGGGCGAGTACCCATGGGAGTCGCATTTACGGTGCGGCTCAAATCAACGGGCAAGGAAGGGGTCCCATTTCTCGGGTTCTGGGCTATTTCTCATGGTTCTTTCTCCTTTCGTGCATCACTTACCACCTCTAACTTGGTTTCCAGTGGGTTGCCTTTTCATCGTGAATTCCGCCTCTAATCCATTGCATTGCCCTGCATATCCAGCGCTACCACTTTGGTGCTCATCGCTAACACTCGTTATCACGCGTACGCCCCCAGAGTCATCTAGCTCCTGTGCTCTCTCCCAATCTCCGAGAGAAAATCCTTTCAATATATTTGTTCTCCATGGGGTAGGTTTATAGAACTCTTGACATAAACACGCTTGACAGGTACTCACTTTCCTGGGGCACTTGATACGATACATTCTGATATATATGGGTTCCTTCCGTGAAGGAATGGAAATGCTTTTGGCCTCACATGTTGGCATTGGAAAAGGGCTTCTGGTCATTTGTCCCAGAATTAACTGGTGGTGTTCAAGCTTTTTTCAAGCAAAGTATTTTCAGATAGAAATATTGGTTACCTTTCCCCAATTGGTAAAATCGCTGGTCGAGTACTTATCACAAGGTATCGCTTGAGGTTTGAAGCCAGCGATGGTGTAAGTTTTTCCATGTTCTGTTCCTAATAGTCAACTCATATGGTTGCCAATATGTTTTACAGATTTGCCAATTTGACGTACCTCTGGGTTGTATTTCCAAAGTAGAAAAAGTTGGACATTCCACTGTTAGTCGAGAATGAACATGCGTATGGTATACTGATAGGATGTAAGGTGAGTGATTTCCAAATAATTTGAATATTTCACATTATCTCTGATTGCTCCTACTAGTTTGCGTTAAATTAAGGTCACATCTAGAGTAAAAGTATCGTTCAACTAATCTCTCGGAGGTATTATATGAGGCAGTAGGAAAATGGAGGGATAGTACACTATAAAGGATATCCTGTCTCATTTCTACAATAAAGATGGAACCCTTCGACAAAGGATACGCCATGCTATTCACCTTCATACTGATTTTTGGGAAAGACATTGCGCGTCTGGTCCTATGCATGAAATGGCGCAGTCAATGTTAATAGCGGTGCAATACCCTCGCAGACATTTCTGGTGCTACAAATCTTCTCGCGCAAGGAGTGAATACTTGGATTCTGACAGGATATGAACAGATTGTGAACGTGCGGGTAATGCTAAAGTAACTAGTGGTAATCACAGTAAAAGAAATTGCATATTATGCTATGACTACACCATATATTGTAATTGTACTATCTGCTTCGTATATTTCTTGAGAAAATTCTGTAGTTTGACACAAAGTTGCTACGATCTCAATATGCATCTGTTCCAATTGCGAGATTTTTTTTTACATGATTTTAGCACTGTCATAACCGAACTCTTTAGTTTACGTTTTTAGGATATGCGACATATACGGTTCACTTGTCACCCTGCTACCCACAGCAGGCGTCCAATGTTTGATGCCTTACTTCGTTATGCATTTCCAGTTACGAATAAACTGGTAAGAGTATTGACAAGAGTTTGTTTTCAAAGATTTTATCATGTATGATTTCAATGTCGTGAATATCCAGTTGGCACTGACCATTCTAGTTTACCACTTTGACGTGAACATACCTCGTTCTAATCGAGTTTTGCTTTTTCTGTGGTGGAATATTTGATGTTACGTCGTTTTGGCAACAATGAAAAAGAAACTTCCCTTGGACATGATTTGCCATTCCAGCCTCTCTACGCGTTTCTGTATGCGATTTCACTACGAGAATCATCACCACCAGCACCTGGTTCAAGGCCATCGATTGACGGCTGGACATTGTATGACGCAAAAGTGGAGTTGAACAGGCTTGGCGTACCGAATGAGCAGTGGGCCTTGAGTCTACTCAATCATAACTACGACTTCGCAGACACCTACCCCAGACTGGTAGGCTTTGGATTAAATGCAGCGCCAAGCGCCTATGTTCTTCATGAGCTAAATAGAAGGCACTTCATTTTAGTTGGCGATACCAACCGCTGTTGAGGCGAAAGGTCGTGAGTTCATTGAGAGGGTTGGTGAATATCGTAGTCGACAACGGATTCCAGTAAGTCATTTTTAGAGACTATGTCAAATTTCAATTTCAGCAGTTTTAGAGCTGCTTTGAAAAATAGTAATATCCCTGCTGTTATACTTCTAGTTTTGGTATTTCTTTTCTGATATCTCGTTCTTATATTCATTATTGTTTGTTTCGTCTTCATTGCTCTAAAAAGGATTGTTCAGAGTTTGTATTGATAAACACCTTCATCTCCCTCCTTACTGCAATTTTCAGGTGTTGAGCTGGTTGCATCCTGTCACGCAAGCGTCAATCACACGCTGTTCGCAACCCATGTCGGGCATGACCAACAGGAAATGTGCAGAGGATGAGTGGTGAGGATTTTCCGAATAGATCGTTGGGTGCTTTCCAGCAAATCCTTTCAAATGGACGTTTTAGGTTTTTGAAGCAGATCGTTCTTGCAAATGCAAATGCTCATCAGCTGCTGATCTTTGATGCCCGTCCAATTGTAAATGCCAAAGTAAGTATAAGTTTAGGCATCTTCCAACCTTTGTTAACGCATGTAAGCGTGCATATGATCAAATCTTAGCTTAGCGGCTGTACGGGGCTGTGTAATTCTGTTTTAAACAATGTGTACCCTTCCTCTACCCTTGTGGCTTATGTCAAGCCAAGACCCGTTAGCGATAGAAGGGTTTTAGTTTCTTGAAAACCATTCTATATGTCATGGCCATTCATGTTAAACATCAAATAATCAAATAAAATTGTTGTGCGCACAAATGCCCCATTGGAGACCTAATTGAAATCATGAACGTAATTATTTGGAGAAACTGCTACTCATCGTTTTTCTACTATGTCTCTGCTCTTTCCAAGGTAATGAACAAATGGTATTCTAGGTAAACAAAGCGAAAGGTGGAGGATACGAGGAGTCGTATGAAGAATGTGCCTTGCTATTTCTCAACATTCATAATATTCACGTTGTCCGGGAATCGTAAGTCATTTTCGTTTACTGTTTACTGTTTACTTTTGAAAATGTGGCTAGCATCCTTCGAATCCGAGTATTTGAATGTAGCCGGTGCTGTGCCGCATGAAGGTACGTCAAGACATTTCACAGCTAAGTTTTTTTTCGAATTCTGTGTTCTTATAGGTTGGAGGATTTCTAATGCGAAAAAAAAACGCTCTCACATTCGTAGAAGTTTTAGTGTTATCTCTGCTATGAATAACTCTCTTATCTCGAAGAAGAGGCGCTTTCTAGCGCATACGTTTGCTAATGTCAACACTGAGATGATAAGATGTGGCTCATTACTTTTTTCGATGAGTGGGTGCTCAATGAGAAAATATTTTTGAAAGGCAAGGGAGTAGTATTTACTGTGTATTACTAAATGTTTCATAAACTTATTTTAGACAGAGTCATGCGCTATTAATGAAACGGCAGATTTGTTCTGTAGAAATCAGTTCCTACGGAAAGTGGAACAGCTTTCGTTGCCTTCCGTGTTTCTAGCGCCCTAGAATTGATTTTGGAAGGGTAGAATGAATTATTAGTGGGTCAGTAGGATCTAAATCTGTTTCTTCTATCAAGCGAGTGTGGCAAGGAGAAGATGAGGAGGAAGGAAATGACTTGAAAACCTGAAACCTGAAAACTTTGGGAGCCTGTAGATAGTGCGGTTCTTTCATCTCTGCTTTTCCCTCCGTTTTTGCCTCTTACTATAGATGCATTGATACCAGCTACGCTTTATCACTGAAGTCAGTAGAATTGCTGTGGAATATATGTCACCTTCTTTAGAACTTTTTTCTTTTGCAGTCTGCGCAAATTGAAAGACTGCCTGTTCCCTCGTGTGGATGAGAAGAATTATTTGAAGTTATTAGATGAGTCTAAATGGCTGAATCACATTCAGTCGATCATAGAAGGCGCTGCACAAATTGTCTCCGAAGTTGAACGTAATCGTAATTCGGTACTTGTTCACTGCTCTGATGGTTGGGATCGAACAGCTCAGGTGGGCGTTTAGAGTATTTAAGAATAATTTCTGGTTGCCGTCTTATATCAAGCAAGCTAAATCTTGTTTTTGAAAAAAATGAAAAAATAGTGGTGAATTCTCTAAAATGAAGAAGAATTGCACCTCTCTTTCAAAAAAAGAGAGAAGTCGGGTGCAGACCATGCACCACAAGTGACGACGGCCTCCACAAAATGTTAATGTTTTCTGCCAATGAAATGATTAGCCTGTTGCAGTTGTATTCTATCAGTTGTCACTAATTACAACTATCATTTACCAAAAATCAGCTATCACTATGAACCACTACTAACCAGATTTACTTGGAGGCCGTCGTCACTTGTGGTGTATGGTCTGCACCCGACGCTCTTCTCGTTTTCTGAAAGGGAGGGT